GGAGAAACCTTAAATGCATATTACTAAGTGAAAGAAGCCAATCTGAAACAGTTAAATACTGTATGATTGCAACTATATGGTATTCTGGAAAAGGCAAAACTATGGAGATACTTAAAAAAAAATCAGTGGTTTCTAGAAGTGGGGGCAGGAGTTGAAGGGAAAGGTGAACTGGCAGAGCACAGAAGATTTTTAGACAATGAAAATACTCTGTATGATATAATGATGGATATATGTCCTTATATATTTGTCCAAATAGAATAATTAACACCAAGAGTGAACCCTAGGGTAAACTGTGGACTTTGAGTGACTAAGATGTATCAATGTAGGTTCATCCTTGATAAAAAAAAAAAATGTACAACCGGTGAGTGATCCCAAGAGCTTGTTTGGAGGTTCTAGCAGGGGAGCGCAGCTACTCATATAGCCTTGACTGAGAAGAACAGTCCTCCTCTATTCAGGATGCTTGTCCTTTTTGACTGAGAACAGCTTCGGGAGGGACGCACATGGAGCGGAGAGGGAAGAAGGGGACACCCGCCTCACCTGCCAGATCAGGCGAATCAACCCTGGCGATCAACGAGGTGACAGATGTCGCAGCCAGATCACCTTCACATCCAACTGGTAAGTGATCTTGATAATGGGGGAAGCTATGCATTTGTGAGGACAGGGGGTATATGGGAAATGTCTATACCACCTCTTGATTTTGTTGTAAACCAAAAACTGCTCAGAAAAATAACTTTTAAAAAAATTTTAAGTAACACTAAATTTAATTTAAAACATCGCTGTTTCATTTTACCACATTCCTTAAACATTAACACCACTGATTATTGGTACATGATCATTGTCTTTTTCAATCCTTAGGTCTTACAACATACTACTATTTCTTGCACAATAAAGGAGAAAAAAAAGTGACTAAACATTCTCACATAACTTTTAAAAAATATTAAGTACAAACTCTGCTAACCAATTCTCCTGTTCCCCATCTCACCATTTCAATTTCTATATTAGGAACACTTACCAGATACAGTACATATCCCCATTCTGGAGCTGTGGAATAAGAAAGGATTCACAGAGTTGCAAGGCTAACATAGTCTTGCCTTCTTTTTCAGTGTTACAGATTATATCAATTCCACTCTTACAATCAGTTTTCAGTAAATGCTATAAGAGGAAAAGAAAAATCAGTTCATATCATTTAAAATATCTAGAAAGATAGTTGCAAAAAATGTTTAAACATTCAGAAGGAATTAGATTTCTACATCTCTACAAAGACGATGAATTGTACAGAAATTTTTTCCTGATTTCATAGTTTCACTATATATAGCACCTACAGTTTACAGTGACTACTTTTAATCTCATTAATGTCCACAACTTGTAGGTACATAGGGTCCATATTAGGAAAAGATTCTTTCATTTAAAAAAAAAACACAAAATAACATAAGCATTTAATTTCTTACTACTTAAGAGGCAAAACCAAAATGCTTCTTAGTTTTTATTTAACTTCTTCTCTGTCACACCAGAAGCTTGTTCAACATGAATAATGCTTATTAAAAGATTTAATTTCAAAACCATTTGTTAATATCAGACTCAATATGAGCTTAAAGAATGGTGCCAAATGGGACACATCTAGATAATGTAATCTTAAAACCTTTGGTATTACTATAAAAAGGAATTTAACAAGAATGGGCTACATTTTTTTTTCTTGGTAAGATCCAAATGGTAATAGACAAAAGTAATCTCAAACAATACCTCCCGAAATAGCTGATCTTCTACAGGTGACATAAACAGACATGTGAAGAGTGCTTGATGGAAGTACAAGTCTTTACTGATTTCTGGATGATTTATACAACATTTAATAAGAGCCATTGCTTCAGGTATGCGTTCACAAGCAATTAGGTATCTGGCACGTAGTTCAAAGAATAGTGGATTTTCAGAACTTAAATATTTGTTCACTATATTAAAAAGAAAACAGACTTATTACTCTCAAGAAAAGGTTGTCTAAAACTTTGTTCTTTGAAACTTCAGCACTAACATACTATCCAATTAAAATTAGTCATTTAATTAAACAGCATTTTCCTTAGTAGGAGTTTATTTGTAAAAAGATTACTCAGTTAAATGATTAGAAAAATGGAAGTAAGAGCAACACCAAAATTATGCTCAAGAAATATCTGCTGACTCTGAGTCTAAAAAGCAAAAAAACAGCATGAAATATTCTTTTTTCTGTTCACTAATACATTAAAATATGTTTCAACTGACATGGGGTCTGGAATTTCTTTCTAGTCTAAGATTATGTATTTTATCTTCTTACTGCCCAATATTTTCATTACTATAAGATTAAAAGGCTAAATCCTAATTTGTCATTAAAACCACATTAATTCAGATTACTTATAGAGAAATGTAATCTCAATTAATGAAAAAATTCACTCATGAAAGAAATATATTACCTTCCAACAAGAAATTAAGCTAGAAGTAGTGTCAAGTAGGACTGCTTATTAATATATACTCATGTATCACCAAGGATAATTACTAATTAATACCTGCTTTTACACAATTTTAAAATGTATAAACGCCTTTATCTACATAAGTTCATTTAGACCTAACAACAACCTCATGACAGGTTTAAATACTTGTTTTACGATCACAAAACTGAGTCTCAGAGAGGTCAAATGACTTGCCCAAGGACAAAGAATTAATTAAGTAAGTGGCAGAGCAGGAACGGGAACCCATACTTTATGATATCAAATCCAAAAATGTTTTAATTAGTTATATATGTTTAATCAGCAGCTTCTGAAATGCCTATGAATAATGTTTTATTTGGGCTTCAACATTTGCCTTGCAGTTCTGTTTACAGTATGTGAAAAGCAGACACTGATTTGTATAATTAATGCAAAGATAAACTTCAAACTGATCTTTACCCTAATGATCACCAACTAGAGGAGAGTCATCCATATTAATGAGGTTCTAGAGCAGCTTTTCCCAGAGTGAGGTATGACAGCTACTGTCAGTACAAAAGGAGTATGTATGAAAGGACTAGACATAGTGTAAACTGTATATATTGAGGCCATCAGCCCTCATTAACCAACAACAGGTTTGTTCTAGCTCTGACTCAGAGAAGCCTAAGAGCTACTACTCTAGAAGCCCAAACTTCTCTGTTCTCACTCCCTATAAATCTGTCTTTGCCTAGCTCCTTTCCCCTCTGGCCACATTCCCCAGTTTCCTCAGAGATTCCTGCAGGCTGTCACCCTCATCTTCCCTATAATTTGATGGTCTATACTTTTCCTCAATAATTCAACTCTTTCTCCTCCAATCAACTACCTCCATCTTGAGTTTTCTTATTGCTTTTTGAGACCGTGACATCAAGTGCTAGTCTCCGTTGCATCCTTTGTGTATATTACCACTATAGCGCTGCCACCTGTACCTTAGCCCTTTCCTTCTAGTCTTGTCCTTCCTCCTGTCTCATCTCACCACTTAGCACTACTTCTCCTGGTCTTAACTTTTTTTTTTCATCTTCTCTCACATCTCTGTTCTAGTCTTCTGTACTTGTATCTGGGGTCAGCTGGCTCTTAAGCCCTAGAATCACAGCTCCTTCTCCACTCAGTTCTACTCAAAACCCATCCCCATCCCTTTACCTGGGACAAATGGAAAGATTCTAAACTATTAAGGATAATCAGTGGGGCAAAATGTCTTTCTCACCAGACCAATTTCTGAATGGATCCAGAGCCGAGAGGTCTTGTCTTTTCCCTCTGGCCATGTTACAATTGCATGCCATAGACCATTCTCCATGCTCTCAAGTGTGTCCACGCTTTTGTGCTTATTCACTGCTGCTGAACTTACATTCTAAGTTTTGGTGACCCCAGATGTTCTGAAGTTCGGGAATAATATGGCAAATGTTTCTTTAAAATAATTAGCTAGAAGTAGTCAACCGAGATTCCTGCCTCAGAAGGAAATTCTGGCTCACAGGAACCACTGTGAGTCTATGTTGGAGAGGAAGTGATGTCAAAAAAAGTACACAGGTGGTAAGGGTATGAGACAAAATTTAACTTCTATTAATGAATGAAGTTTGGGAAATACTGCTCTTGAGTATTCGGAATTGAAATTTAGTTATTCATCCAACTAGTCATTCATTCACTTTGCATTCATCATGTGGTTGTTCATTCAACAAACAAATACTTATACTGAGCACCTACTCTGTACCAGGCACCAGGCCAGATGCAGGATATACAGTGATGTATATTAAACCAAAAAGTGAAGGAGTTCCATCCTTCACAGAGCTTCCTGTAGAAGGGAGATTCCATGTACTTAAGCAGGGTTTTTGTTTTTTTTTTAAGTGTTCTTTCTTAAACAGATATTTTAAAAATATAGCCGAAGTGACAAAAACAAACTATAAATAAGTAGTATCTGGATAGTAAATGTATTAACACTCTGAATTCCCATTAGAATAAATGGGAAATTATTAAAAATAACTGTACCTAGTCTTGTGTCAAAAGTCACTCTTGGGCCAGGTTAGTATAACAAATTAAACACACTTCATGTGAAAATACATTCCTCTTCTTCAATATTATAAAATAAAGAAGAATCACTACTACTGCTCTAGTTAGAATATGAAATTGTGTTTGCTTCTCACAAATGTTGGTTTGGATTTTGAGTCTCCTGAAGTACCTATCTCCTGAGATGCTGGCTGGGCTTTTAGAACAGCTTGCAACACTGGATCTTCCCATGGGCCACCATCTCTAATGATTCGAGTCACCAGTTCCAGATTCACATTTCCATATCTGCGGAGGTGATTCTGGCATTCCTAGGAGAGAAAAATCATTTTGGCTTTGTGAATTTAAAGGGGTTAAAGACTAAACTTGATCATCATTGTCAATAAAATGACTGATGGTCAATGAGGCAGCTGTTAAATTATAAAAGAGAAAGGGTTGCTGTATTAACCTAAGTAGGGTATCAAAACCCCATTTGTATACAAATAGGCTTTAATGCCAAAGGTTACACAGTTTGTACATAAGTGGACTTAGAAAATCCCATTATAATAGGGATGAAGTGTAACCTAAGGGAAAAGTGTAAGGGATGCATCATTTCTAGAAGGAAAAGAACCAGGTTGCAAAAATATAAGACGTGTATATTCAGTTAAATTTATGTGAGGGCTCGTGACGTTTCCGTCAACAGTGGCAGGCAAGAGCCTGACAATTCTAAGAAGGGGATAGAGAGGTTCCTGCCCAATGCAGACTCTGGCTGACAGGTAGTACAAATCCCCTCCCCTAATCCCAAATGTAGAATCTCAGATATGGCAGAAGGCTGGAAGATGGAAATTCTATTCCACTTGTTATGTAAGTAGATTTATACCCTTGGGATGAGAAATGACAGGTTGGAGGAATGCATCCAGCCTATAATATGAAGACTCTGCATTAGGTTTAAGGTAAAAATATTACTGATAAGTTGGGCATTAACTGATAATTTGTCTATGCATTTGGGGGTATTTTTTAAAAGATATTTGAAATGTTTTTAGAGAATGTGTTATCTTAAGACTTGTGATTAAAATATGAATTATGTAACATGTAGTCTATAAACAATGCTTAATATTTAGGAGAACTTGGTTTATATATTTTAGAATTAGATTTACAAGATTTAATCATATGATTATGCTTTTTTGATTCATTATATACTTTGTTAGGTGTTTTTTAAAATGTTTCAGGGAATTTAATTTGATAATTTAAAAAGATTAACTGAAGGTATGGACAGATTTTTTTAATGCATAAATTGAGCTTATTTAAGGCCTTAAGAAAAATCTGGATATTGAAATTAGCATTGTTAAAAACTGGAATAAACTGCACATCAATTAAAACACAAACAACTGTCAAGAATTTCTTTCTGTGCTCAAAAAATCCCAAAGACGTGAAAAGCTTAGTAACAGTTATAAAGCGAAGCTTCAAGATAAAACAATATATATTTACAAATTTTACTTAGCAGATGAATCATTAGGCTACATATTCAAAGTAGCAATAAACACTTGCTTTTATTAAACTGTCATGTTCTTCTATCATTTGAACGTTCCAAAGTGATATCTGTATGCCACTTTCATTCATTGTTAAAATACACAAAGGTTTTGTTTTGTAAGAGAACAGGGCAGTAGAAGAAATCAAGTTTCAAGATAAAGAATTATTCAGAGAAGTCAAAGGATCATTAAATCAAAACATGAAAGTAAGTATCTTCTAAAAGTTATTTTAGCACATTCCCAAATTAAAATAACCAACCAAGCAAACAAAAACCCTATAAACAATGGGCAAGTTACTTAACCTCTCTGCTCCTTCAGTTAACTCCTGCAAAATGGATACTAAAAACACCTACTTCATAGGATTGTTGTAAGGATTAAATAATACACAATACTGAAAAGTGCTTGGGACAGTGCCTGGCGTAATAAGCACCTAATAAATGTTAGCTGTTATTTTTTCTAGTATTTTTTAAGATTCTGAGTAAATATTTAATTTTAGGACATCCAATTGCCTTAGCATACAATTAACTCCTACATTTTCATGTGTCAGTATGTTACAGCATTCATAAAAATAAGATAAAGTTATTGATAAGCCATGATTTTTTAACACATGGAACATAGTAATGATCTGTGGCAACAGCTTCATGGTTAAAAACAATCATCCATTTTAAACCTCAAGGTAAACAAATTCCTCAATTACTCTAGATACACATATTGCTGCCCATAAAATTAAACTCCTATAAGCTGGCTTACGGTCCAATTAAAGCACAAGAAATAAGGTGAGCTGGATGCCACCCCCTGAATCACT